AGTACAAATGCAATGGCGACTCCAAAATAATCATGAATGAATGTGAAAGAAGAAGTCGCAATTGATATGATTTGAGAAAGCTTGTGCTAAGTGTAGATGCCATCTTGCGAGAGGATTATTTGCGCCCACCCATCATTCCGTTAAACTCCCTTGAGGTTCATCTCAAGAGTGTCGTGATAACCTGGTGGTAGATGATTCACCTGTATTCCATGAGATCACGAGTTCGATTTATGTTGTGAGCATACTTCGCCTAATTATTACATATTGAGGGACTTCTTGACTGCTAGAATTTTGGTAAAACTGTCGTGACAGATTTGCAAATCTCGTATTTTTGAGTTGCGGGTGGTGCAGAGTAATTATGACTTAAACCGAACATTCGTAATGTGTGTAAGACCTTCACGACAATACCCATAGAAAATCGCTAGAGCTAATCGCCCCCTTCTTTTCCTTTTTGGCCAGGTCCACTCTACTAGAGTTTTGTCGTCGAGTGTTTCTCACCGACCATACACCATATGGCTCCATTGCACCATATGGCATATCCTATCTGTCTAATTATTTGCTGTTTTGTTGTATGAATGCAATCCCGTATGATCTTTAATTTGTTTACCCAATTTAAATGGAACGGCAAGCAGAAATTGCTGACAAATGGAGGTCATTCTCTTGTCGATATCTCCGTCTCCATTCATTTTTTTGTCGCTCTTGCCCGTGTCTTGGGAGCAAATATTGAGTGCCACTCGAATAATACAAGTCTAGTTCACATTCATTGTCAGATTTGATGGGTTTCATGTGGCGCCACTTCATCTAACAGTGCCTGCGGCCCGTAGACGTTTTCTTGTGCTTGCAGGTGAGTGAATTCCCTAACACTTGGATAAGGTGGTGTGTTACGTGATTGAAACGCAGCTTGGGAAGTTGTTGTTGCTTGAAACGGTTTTGTTCTTATGGGCGTTGATTCTTGCTAGCAATATTCATGTGACCATTATTATTTTTGAGATGACTTTGTTTTCAATGGTGGTGTACTTGTTCTTAAGTAAAATTTTTCGTGTGTATACTTATACAAGTTTGTGCTTGTTATTGTATGGTTTGCTCATGATTCATTTTGTTAAGAGTCAAGCACATCCCGTGCATCGAAGAAAAGGTTCGCGTCGACATTGAACGTGAAACGTAGGCATGTCGGATCGCGCCTCTCTTAGGCTTGGACGATATTGAGGAATGTCGTTCCAATGTCAAGTTTGATCTAGGTCGGTGCTAAAGTGTAGCGATTCGAGTCTCGGGCCTTGATTGGTGCCCGGCATACCTATTTGTACTCAACCACGATAAGTCATTTCGTATACGTGTTTTGCACGCCCTCGGGCTTCATTCTTGAAACGACTAAAAATGAAAGATAAGAACCGAAGTCTTGTTTGCTACCGCGTGATCATACGAGGGATTAAACCGTTACCGATGGATTTTGGTTATGTAATAAATGAACCCAATGTGAATTTTTTTACGTTGTTCTTGTGCATGGTTGCATGACGCTTGGATGCAGTAGTTTAAGTGATATGTTGATGTTCTTAACCATGCTTGTTGATTTATGAGCTTGTGAGCTTTTCATGTGTACATAGAAACTAGGGCCTTGTATGCGTGGATTAAGATATAGAATAATAAACCAGCTTGTGTGACTTGTGATGTGTGATCACTAAATGAAAAGAAGAAGACCGTCGTCATATAGCGTTGACGACGATGCCTCGGTTGAGCCGGGATGCCCTGGTTGAGCCAAGATGCTTGGGTTAAGCCCGGATGCCTCGGTAAGCTAGCCCCGGGATGCCTCAGTTGAGCCAGGATGCCTTAATTGAGTCAGAATGCGTAGCATGAAGTTGGATGCCTCGGTTGAATCGAGATGCCCTGGTTGAGCCGGGATGACGATAAATATGTGTGCCAGTATGTGTGTTTATTGATGAGCCAAAAGTTTTTGGATGCCCGAAGGATTCCGGGGGACCTGTCACCCGCATATTGAGGAGGCGATGCCGAATGGATTTCGACTGTAAAATCAATGAATTCACGTATGAATATTTTCGAATATTTTTGCATGCCGATTGGTTGCGAGGCTTCACGTGTAAATTTTCTTATACATTTTTATGGGCAAAAGGACACTACAAGTGCCATAAGTTGTGTACAGAGGTCACTTTGGTGCTATAACTTTTTTTTGGATTACTTTGGTGCCAAGTCGGAGGAAAAGAGATCACTTAAGTGCCAACTCCAGTAAATTTGGCCGGAAATCCGACGTGACATTTTTTATTAATTTCTGATGCCGACGTGGCTTGCTGGAGGATGAGTCAACATGTACAGTCAGTATTTTTTATTTTAAATAATTTTTTTTCTTTTTTTTTTCCTCTTCTTTCCTTTTTCCTTTCTTTTCTTTTTTTTTCGTTTCTCCCCTCGTCGGCCGGTTGCCGGTGGCCAGCCCGGCCACCGGCGAAGCCCGGGAAGGGCTGGGCGAGGGCGGCCTTGCCCATGGCCGGCGAGGGGCGGCCTTGCCAGATCTGGGCAAGGCGACCCTTGCCGGCGACAGGCGAGGCCGCGCCTCCGGCCATGGGTGAGGGGCGGCCTCGCCAGATCTAGGCGAGGCGACCCTCCCCGGCAACAGGCGAGGCCGCCCCTCGCCCATGGCCGGCAAGGGGTCGCCTTGCCAGTCGCAGGCGAGGGTTGCCTCGCCCAGATCTGGTGAGGCCGCCCCTCGCCGGCCATGGGCGAGAGGCGGCCTCGCCTGTCACCGGGGAAGCTCGCCGGGGAGGGTTGCCTCGCCCAAATCTGGCGAGGCCGCCCCTCTCTGGCCATGGGCGAGGGGCGGCCTGACCTGTCGCCGGCGAGGGTCGCCTCGCCCAGATCTGGTGAGGCCGCCCCTCGCCCATGGTCGGCGAAGGGCGGCCTCACCTGTTGTCGGCGAGGGTCGCCTTGCCCAGATCTGGCGAGGCCGCCCTCGCCTAGCCCGGCCGGCGAGGGGAGAAAAGAAAAAAAAGAAAAGAAAGGAAAAAGGAAAGAAGAGGAAAAAAAAAAGAAAAAAAAGGAAAAAAAATTATTTAAAATAAAAAATGCTGACTGTACACGCTGACTCATTCTCCGGCGAGCCACGTCGGCGTCAGAAATTAATAAAAAATGCCACGTCGGATTTCTGGCCAAACATACCAGAGTTGGCATTTAAGTGATCTCTTTTCCTCCGACTTGACACCAGAGTGATCCAAAAAAAAGTTATGGCACCAAAGTGACCTCCGTACATAACTTATGGCACTTGTAATGTCCTTTTGCCCATTTTTATGTGACCGGATAAAGGTGAGCTTTTATGTAAATATAGCAAGGGCAAGGTCAAAGTCTTTGTTATTGATTTGTCATCGACATAAGGCAAGGAAAATATTTGTATGCGTTAGTACGAGGGCGAGGCATCATCCTGTATGAGTATTAGCGAATTTACTCATTGAGTTTTTAACTCACTCCCGTTGTTTTCCATGTTTTTAGGTTGAGCTTCGCGCCTCCGATTCGTTTTGGTGTAACCGTCAAAATGGAGGTTGACATAGAGAAGCTAGGATTAACCCCGACCTTCGCTTGGGACGTAACCAGATATGGTTTGTACGTGGAACGGCATGTAGAAAAGAGCTTGAAAAATATGTTTATGTAATGTATAATGGCAATAGTGTGTTTTGCATGTCGTGCTTTCTCTGATTTTCAGCTATTATTTTGTTTGGGAGTTTGTTTGTACACGTTTTCGCATGTGCTTATTAATAAGATAAAAGAAACGGGACGGCGACGAGCCTGGAACGCCACATTAATAACCCCAAGGTGAGAGGACGTTACAGTGACACATTTACCCTCCGTCGAGATTTTATTAAATGATTTTTCAGTCAAAATAACGTCGTTTTTATTTTACTTAAGCCACATAAGCTCTATGTCAATACCGTTTGCTTTCTAGCGTACATGTGAACAAATTTTTAACGGTTTTCAATGACTGAATTTTGACGAAGGGTAAATATGTCACACGGATACAAGTTTGAGATTTTTGGTGTCACGAAAAAAAGTTTAGAGAAAACGTATCATAGTGAATTTAGTTTAGGATTTATTGTGGCTTTTGCCCGTTTCTTTATAGTTAATTACAAACGCCCTAATGCACTTTTTAACAAAACGATTTTTGTTAAATTTCATTTGAAGTCTTGCTTTCCATAAAACATTCAATAACTTCGATTTATCCTTTCTTTAATTATTTATGTACCTTTCTCAATTAGATGGACTAAATTGGCGAACTTTTAGCACAAACAGGGGTAATTTCGCTTTATTACGTATTTTATTGGTAATATATTTTTTTTCAATAATCTATTTGAATTGAGGGTAAAATGTTCACGGTGTTTCAAATCTCTAATTTCATATAGTAGAAAATTTTCTTTCAAAATCAGCAAGAAATTAACAATTCGATATATGCTTGGCCCTATGTGTCATGAAGAGAGAGAGAGAGATGGGCCGGGCTCCATCTCAAATTTCATGGGTTTTTGGTTCACTGGGCTGGTCAGGTTGGTGTTTAATTCATAATTTCTTATTAGTTATTTATTTATTTGTTTATTTGATTTTTATTTATTATAAAGTTTTTTGTTCTTTTACTACTAATTTCTATTTCTACAAAAAAAAAAAAATGTATGCTTGGCTTGTCGATGAAAATTCAGGCGTCAAGCGTACTTCCCATTATTTAGGTGTAGAATGAAATCACTTATAATCTTTTCTTTGAAAGTAGGGGCAATTTGATCTTCAAAGCAACGAAAATTAACCAGGAAATAACATTCCCTTGATTAAGATAAAAGAGCAGAATGCTTTTCTTAATGAGATAATTGACCTATAATCAGACAATGCACATTGCAACATCTCCACAAGCTACACCCCAACACAACATGGGATGTGGCCCGCCATCCAAAAGAATAAACCAAGTGGATAAACGAGCTTTATATCTATGTTTATAGGAAGACACGAATGCGGAGCGTTTAATATTAGCTCATGCAGATGTGCATGTCCATCCGGCTGCTCTGGAGCAATGCTGGGTTGAGCTTCTCAATGCGGTTGGTGGTGGTGAATACGAAGATCCTCTCGCTCCCACAGCACGACCACGGGCCGTCGGGGAAGTTGAGCAACCCCCAGATGGTGTTGGTGTTGTTGTTCCCGTCCTCAACACTGCGTGTGGTGTCAGGCACCCCGGGGTCGTTGTAGCTCTGAGGTGCGATGGCTTGGGGCACCTTGGACCGGTTCGACAGATTGACCCAGCAGTCGATGTCCTTGATGACGGCGATGGACTTGGAGCTGGTCTTCATGAGGAGGTTCAGGAGCTCGGACTTGGAGTGCACCTTGGTCAGCTCGAGGTTGTAGATGTCATAGCCGAGGAAATTGGCCATCGCGGCGAAAATGTTCGATTTCGCTGTCCCGGGCGGGCCGCTGAGCAGGTAGCGCCACTTCCAGGCTTGGTCTGTCTGCTGGTATAGGGTCTGCCTGGCTGCGAAGTTGCAGAGGTCCTCCATGTTGTTCCCCTTCGTCTCCGGGTCCATGGCCAACGTGTCGAAGGTGCTCGGGTGCTTGAACGGCACCGATTCCCAAGGGTGGCTATGAGAATCGAGCGACCTGCCACGCAAATTAATGTAAAGGAGGCGTTGTTGGTTCTTGCGGCGGATGTTGTTGGCCTTGTCCATGATATGGTCCAGGTAGGAGTGGATGATGAGGTCCTTGTCGCCCTTCCTGATCCGGAGCATGAAACTGCGCTTCTCGTCGGGGAGGGGCCGCCACGAGAAGGTCTGGGACTGGCGCTGTGTCACCATGTGCTCCCACTGGACGGCAACACCGTTAAAGACGTCGTTGATGCAGTCATTGTTGGAGAGGCCGAAGATGGTGGCGCTGGAGTTGATGGTGCGGGTGAGGGAGAGGCGGCTGGCTGAGGTGGAGGCGGAGACGTAGGAGCTGAGGTAGAGCTGGACAGCGTTGTAGAGCACGTTGGTGTTGACACCGTTATTCTCGGTGATGTCGATGTAGCAGTAGGAGGAGAAGCAGGTGAAGGCCCGGTTCAGGAACTTGAGGGAGGCAAACCGGAGCTCCGGCGGGAACACCACCCACAGGATGCTCAGGAGGGAGGCCAGGGATGCCCAGGAGCTCTCCATTTCTGCCTTTCAGTGTGAGCCAAAGTTGAGACTTTTCTGAAGATCTCTAGGTGTGGAAGGACAATGTTTGGGGGAGGGGGGTGGGGGTGGGCGGCGGGCGGCGCGTTGCGCGGGTGGTGCGGGGGGAGCTGTTCTGATTGATGGGCGTTCAGAAACTGAGGAGTTTTAAGGAGTCAAAAAAATGCTAAAGGACAAAAGTCAACGGAAAGCTTAAGAGAGAGATTGGTTTTGGAGTATTGAGATTCTAGAGAATTAGAGAGAGAGATTTGGTGCCCGATTGATATTGCGTTGCGAGTTGAACTTTATCCCTGTATTTTATTATGGAAGTTCTGTACAACTTGATTTCTGCTGGCGCGAAGGAATGTGCGCGATGGTAAGACGAGAGAGAGGTGTGATGCATCAAGGGTGTCTGAGAAGGGACCATGGAATCGGGAATGGACGTGATTTATGGGAATATAATACGGTCCAAATGTGATAATGCTTCTTCGCGAAAAATATTTTTCAAATCATTTATTCTTTCGCGAAACAAATGGAACCTAAATTAAGTTTCAATTTGGTAATGGGTGAGCAAAGTATTGCATAAGGGTCCTACTTTGTTGGCGGTTTATTGACGTAATTACATCTTCAATTCGAGCACTTGTCATTGGCACAATATACAAGGGGAAGTCTCCCAAGTGCTATCCAGTGAAAGTGTCCATTAAATACACGTAAAAAGTATATTTCATATATGTTTTATACAAAAATATCCTTTAAACATTTTATTTATATATCTCGCATATTTGTGAATGTGATTTCATAATTATATCTCTTGCCCATTTACTTGGGTAAAGGCTTCAATAAGAAGCATTATCACATTTGGACCGTATTATATTCCCATAAATTACGTCCATTCCCGATTCCATGGTCCCTTCTCAGACACCCTTGATGCATCACACCTCTCTCTCGTCTCACCATCGCGCACATTCCTTTTCACGGCAGCAGCAATCAAGTTGTACAGAGCTTTCGTTGATTAATTTTTCTTAGTGATACAAGCAGTTAATTTTAAGAAAATATTTTTCAAATAACCGACTTTTCTTATAACAAACACATCACTTTAAAGTAAATTCGTTGATTAATTTTTCTTAGTGATACAAACAGTTAATTTTAAGAAAATATTTTTCAAATCAGCGACTTTTCTTGTAACAAACACATCACTTTAAGGTAAATTTAGCTCATTGATAGCTCTTCCAATATTATCCAAGAAAGGGGGGTATCGGACCGCATGTAGAGGTCACATGCATCAAGAGAAATGAGGTGGTGGGAGAACTTATATGCACATGCGATCTTGTTCGAGCTCTATGTAAGAATTTGCCATTTTTCAAAGCAAGCGTATTGCCAACGACTTGAAGGGATTTCCACTCCTATTCTAATGTTTTCCAATGTTGATTGATCATTTTCCCCAGTAAACACAGTAAAGTTGGGCATTTTATAATCTCTTGAATAAGATATGTGAGTGCAGACTAGTTCCAACACCAATTTTTTTTACTCCAATACCTTATATCAGAAGGACCTGTCTTTTATCCGCTGTTAGTTTATGAAAGACCCCAAACAATATGCTTTTGGTCAGTTTGGTTGATTTTAAGGAGCATTAGAGTAGATCACTGCGGTTGAGCAGCAAAAACTTCCTGTAGCTTTCTTCTTTCTGTTAGACGTTGAGCGAAAGTTGCTGATATTTTGAAGAAGGCAGAGCTTGGATGATGATGAAAATGATGCTGATGCATCACTGTGTAAATGATTGTCTTTCCTGAAAAGCCCGCTTTAGGAATACAAATCAGTAGATTAATTCAATGACCACAAGCTACGTATAAGCGCTCCACGTGCAGTTAGCTCCAATTCTCCTTTTATTTGTGAGGTCATATCACAAATAACTTGTGTATAGGATTATATTGACCTTATATAACATGATACACTTTCCATTATGTCAATATGCATACGAGGAAATGCTGAATGAGTTCACAAAAAGTGAATTGATTGTAACTTAAAGTTTCGACTTCATTCTTTTTTAATTGGGATGAAAATATTCAAGCCCATATTGAGGTATTGAATGACAATTTATATAAAAAAAAGAGACAAGATCTGACGTATCAGATTGAAATGACTAAAATAGTAATTAACGTAAGAACTCACACTTATAAGTTAATCGAAATTATAAATAGTTGAATAGCGTAAATGAATAAAACATTTTTATAGGAATAAATAGAAAAAAAAGAAAAGAAAAAAAGTAGAAAAAACAGAAAATCGAGCCATGAATAAAAAGCAAAAAAGAAAAAGAAAAAGAAAAAGAAAAAGAAGAAGAAACTGAAAACTGATCTGAACCGAACCGAACCAAATCGGTTTTTTGGTTCGGTTCCAATTCGGTTCGAGCGAGTTTCGGTTCGGTTCAGGGGTGCTTCCTTAACGGTTCGATTCGGTTCGATTTTTCAAGAAAACCGAACCGAACCAAACCGTTTACAGCCCTACCTCTCTAGCCTCTCCATCTCCATCGCCATCACCATACTGCTTCAGCCACTTGCCCAGCCTACTTCCCTCCATCTCGTTTTCTCCATCTCCTTTCTTCGTACCCCTCGCCACAGCCCCTCGCCTTAGTCCCTCGCCCACTCTCGCACACCCCTCGACTCCTCTCCTCACACGCTCGTGGGTTTGCAATATGGGTTTGTGAACTGCTCGTGGGTTTCTGAACTTCTGAACTGCTCGTGGGCTTGCTACAAGGGCCTAGATGACGAACTTGTCTCCACAGCATTGATAAATTCTGTTCTTTGTTCTTCACCCAGGAAGTTGATGCTCTATGTTCCTTGCTGATTTTTTTTGGTGATTTGTACTAAAGTGATAATGGCATCTATAGACCTATTTAACAGAATTCTTGAGGAGAGAAATGCCTTGTCATTATATGTTCAGGTGCTGCATTAATTTTATGAAATTTTGGTGAACTGCTGCGATTAGTGGTGGTTGAATTGAGCCCAATTTTTTTTTTTTTTCAGAAATTACTATGTGGTTGATTGGATTACAGGAATTAAGTGTTGGCTGTTGTGAAGTTCATCTTTGGGGCTCAATCACATTTTTTATTCACTGATGGCGACTTCTACATCGACTTCTGGTCATTTTCAATTAACTTGTGTCAAGTTGGATGGAACTAATTATCTGTCCTGATATAAAGCGATCAAGGTCTATCTTACTAATAGCAAGCAACTTGACTATATTGCGTCTACACTACCGTCTGACAAGGATAAAGTTGCCGATTGGATTGTAGGAGATGCAATGATTCGGACTCTTTTATGGAATAGCATGAACCTTAAGGTCAGTCCTCACTTTACTCAGTGTGACTCTGCTAAGGCAGTTTGGGAGAAATGTGCATTGCTTTATTCTGGGCAAAATAATATGATGCAGGTATGCGACACGTGGGCAGCGTTATTTGATATTCAGCGTGGAGATCAATCTTTATCTTATCATTATGCTCGGTTCATGACCCTTTGTAAGCAATTGGATACTTATCTTCTTGCCTCGAATGACCTAATTGTTTTGGCCAAATGCCAAGAGGATTTGCCGGTGATATTATATCTCAAGTCATTGGGGCTTGAGTATTCATCTCTTCGACAACATATTACATATAGCTCTCTTCCTACAGTGGATGAAATCTTCTCTTAGGCTCTCCATTCTATAATCAATAAGAAGATTTCCTCCACGCTGACTTTGGAGACGAGTGCTATGCTTTCCCATGGTCCTAGTGGATGTGGAGGTTAGGGTCGTGGTTACCGAGGTCGTGGACGCAGTTTTGTTCATAGTGGATGCCGTGGAGTCCGTGATGGAGGGGTTAGTACTCGTGGTGCCATTAGTTCTGGGAATGGTCATGGCTCACTCTTTTGCCATTAGTGTCAAAGAACCGGACATACAGAAGCTTATTGTTATATTCTTCGCCTAGAACTCATACCAACTCTTTCTGCATGTGCGGAGGTTGAAAATTCTCTCGTTCCTTCCTCACCGATTCCACCAAGTTCAATTACTGTGCAAAATACAAGCAATTCCGTTACATTGACATGTGCTCAACAGATGACAGGATCTTCAGCTCCCACCTCAACTTTGGCACAAACATCCAAAGATAGTTCATTTTGTTTGTTTTCTACAGCATCTGACTCTTGGGTTATGGACTCTGGAGCTACCAATCAAATGACTGGTAACTCTAATCTACTGTCTTTATTTCATTCTACATCTCCTTTATTGCCAAACTCGGTTACATTAGCGAATGGCTCACAATCTCAGGTTACTAGTATGGGAGTTGCTCATTTGAGTCCTTCTCTTTCTTTGCCATCTGTCCTTCACCTATCAAAATCTCCATATAATTTGATTTTTGCTAGTACTTTAACTAAAGAACTAAATTGCTCAGTGACCTTTTCCTCTTCTCATTATGTCTTTCAAGATCTGAGGGCTGGACAGATGATTGGTGGGGGACATGAATTGAATGATCTATACTACCTTGACAAGAAGGTGTTAGCTGATGTAGCTGTGAAGCGCACATCCTTTGATGTGTATTGGATGCATTGTCGTGCTGGTCATCTGCCACCGAACATTCTTTGGCGTTTATTTCTTGAGTCTGAGTCTATGAGTTCCTTTTAGTCTAAAGCCTGTCAGTTTGGTAAACACCATAGGACCTCTTTTCCTTCTCGCATTAGAGTCGTGTGTCTAGTCCTTTTGAGCTAGTTTACTCAGATGTACGTGGTCCATGTTGTGTTTCGGATTTTTCTTGTTTCAGACAAATTGTCACATTCGTGAATGATTTTTCCCGAATGACTTGATTATTCTTAATAAAAGATCGTACTGAAATTTTTCATTGTTTCGCCTTTTCTATTCTAATTGTTTTTGTACTCATCATCCATTTCCAATTTCTTGTCATATGATCATTTATCCCCTACCTTCTCTACCTTTGTCTCGTCCTTGTCCTCTGTTTCTGTGCCAAGTAGTGTTACTGAAGCTCTTAATTACCCTAGATGGCGGCAAGCCATGGAGGATGACATGAAGGCACTTATCGAGAATCATATTTGGCAACTCACTTCCTTATTTGCGGGGAAACAACCTGTTGGTTGTCGTTGGGTTTTTATTGTTATAGTTCATCCCGATGGCACTCTTGATCGATTGAAAGCTTGGTTGGTTGCAAACGGATATACTCAGATGTGTGGTGTTGATTATGATGACACTTTCTCACAGGTGGCCAAAATTCCATATGCTTGTGTCTTTATATCCCTGATGGCACACTTTGGCTGGCTTCTTCATTAGTTGGATGTCAAAAATGCCTTTTTATATAGTGATTTAACTAAGGATGTGGACATGGAGCAACCACCTGGGTTTGTTACTCAGGGGGAGAATTTGGTATGTCGTTTAAATAAGGCTTTGTACGGACTCAAGCAATCTCCTCGTGATTGGTTTGGTAGGTGCAGTGATGCTGTTATCAAGTTTGGATTAAAGCGGTGTCAAGTAAATCATTCCGTCTTTATTTCTGTCTCCTCAGCTGGCTATATCCTTTTGGTAGTATATGTGGTTGATATTATCATAACTGGCAGTGATTCAGATGGTATTCAACGACTTAAACAATTTCTGCATACAGAATTCAGTATTATGGATTTGGGACGTCTGCAATATTTCTTTGGTATTGAAGTTGCCTATTTACATGCATGTATCAATTCATTATAGCGAAAATATGTACTTGACATTCTTGATGAGGTTGGATTTCTCGAAGCAAAGCCTGTTGATACTCTTATGAAACCCAATATGAAACTTCATGCAGAATATGGAGAATTATTACATGATCTAGTGAAGTATAAGATATTATTGGGTAAGTTGAACTATCTTACTGTCACAAGACCTGATATATCTTTTGCTGTCAGTGTAGTAAGTCAATTCACAAGTTCTCCTTGTACTACGCATTAGGATGCTATGCTTCGAATTGTTAAGTATTTGAAGGGAGCACCTGGTAAATGACTACTTTTCAAGAATCATGGAAATCAGAATACTACAGGTTTCTCTAATGTAGATTGGGCTGGATGTCTTACTGATAGGAGATCAATGTCGGGCTATTGCGTGTTTCTTGGAGGTAATTTAGTTGCCTGGAAGAGCAAAAAATAATATATGATTTCCTAATCAAGTGTTGAAGCATAATATAGAGCTATGACACATGTGACGAGTGAATTGCTCTGGTTGAGGATGTTATTGTCATAAATTTGTATGTCAACATCATATCCATCGGTATTATATTGTGATAATCAATTAGCTATTCATATTGCAAATAATCTTGTCTTCCATGAGCAAACTAGCACATTGAATGGAAACCAAGCATATTGAGGTTGATTGTCATTTTGTACGAGAAAGAGTTCAAAAAGGGGAGATCATTCTTCATCATACAAGGACCGAGGATCAGCTTGCTGATATCTTTACTAAATCCTTATGGGGGAGCATAGTGAGTTTTTTATGTAACAAGTTGGGATTATTTGATATCTATATCCTAACTTGAGGGGTAGTGTTAGGAAATATATCAATAAGGATAGAATAGTCATTGAGGGTTTATAGAGTTATATATATAATTATAAAGTACATGTTCATATCCAATGTCAACATATTTAAAGACATTAAGAAAAGTTGAATACAAATAATAAATTTTCCTTCCACAATTTCTCATATCCGAACATGAAAAAATTTACAGAGAAAAAACAAAATTATAAGTAGATCAAAACCTTAGAACATATCCTGTACTCATCAATTTTAGAAATTTTAGAACTTTATACATATTTTGCGACCCCTATCCAACTTGGAACCTATCCGGCCATATTGGTTTCGCAAGTTGCCCCAGGCACCAATGGCGTTGACATTTTCAATTCAGATTCATGAAGACATAATGATTAATTTTAGAAAAACGTGTATAATTTTAAAATTTTCTAATTATAGCTTTAACTCACTAGTTTTTTTTTTTGGTCGATTTAACTCACTAGTTTAACTGGGAAAATGTTTTAGACAATTCATGAAATTCTTCCTATTTTAGTAATATGCACAAGGCAGCATCACATTGATTGTTAGGCCATGTATAGGTTGTGGGGAGACTATTCGTATCGAATGTCAATCTCAACTCTTGAATATCGACCTAGAAAAATTGTTTCGATTATTTTAAGTGAAGTAGTTAATATTAATTCTGAAGACTTGTACAAACATATATTTATGTATAAATGATAACCAAGGTCATTTAGGTCTTGTCTGGAATGGAAATATGAAAAATTTTATTCTTATCGATGAATGGTAGGAAGACTAATATTATTGCAAAAACAAAGTAAACTCCCCAAAACTACATGGACCCTCTTTTTTTTCATTCAAATGGCTCTCCTCAAGGCGTGGGTTTTCCACTAGTTATTTGAAGGGTTAACACCACGAAAAACCCCAAACTGGTAAACCTATTATAATTTTAACCCAAACTAATTTTTTGACCACAAAAAATCCAAAAACTAGTACATCTATGACAAATTTACCTCAAACTAATATTTTGACAACTAAAAATTCCAAACTGGTACTTTTGTGATAAATTTACCCTTCATTAATTTTCATTAAATTGAATTAATACCATAAAAAAACACAAACTGGTATACCTGTGGCAAACCGATGGTAAAACATAAAACTAGCACATCAGTCAACTGTCGTGTGTCATTTAACAAAGCAATTCGATAGTAAAATTTAACGGAAATAAACTGAGAGTAAATTTGTCACAGGTGTACTAGTTTGGAGTTTTTCGTGGTATTAACCCTTATTTGAATAATTTTAGAATGCCACATGTCAATATTTGTATATAGATCAAATTAGTCCACCCCTGTAATTTTTTGGAAGGAAAATTACCCAATCAATCCAAAACTTATTGTACGGACACCAGTTGAGTTCTACACTTTTCAATTTTATCAATTTAGTCTTAAATCTTCATGCGAAATTCTAATGTAGTCCTTCCGATCAAATGTCGACAGAAATAGCTGATGTGGCGATCTAGTCATCGCCAACCGTCTTCTGTGGCACACTATCACATTAGCGATTTCCGGCGAAAGTTGACCAAAAAGACCACATTGGAATTTCACACAATGATTCAAGACTAAATTGACAAAATTGAAAAATTCTAGACAAAATTGACATCCATACTATAGGTTTAGTACTGATTGAACAATTTCTCGTTGTTTTGGAGCCTCTCTACAAAGTAAATCAGTCCTATTGCCACAAAAATATAACCACATGCTTTTTTAAGAGTGCCCAATTTTGGAGTCTCTCTACAAAGTAAATCAGTCCTGTTGCCACAAAAATATCACCACATGCTTTTCTAAGAATACCCAATTTCTTCTTCTCCTTCTCCTTCTTCTTTTTCAAAATATTCTTTTCTTAGGAAAAAATAAGAAGAAATTTTATCTAGGGATCTTAAGCAGTTCAGAAGCTGCACACTCACATTCGAATGGGGAAAAGAAAGAGCCAGTGATGCAAAGGAAGTGGCTTGATACTGGCGTGCTTTGTCCTTTGGAAACAGAACTTATTGTAGGCATGCTTTTATTCTTTATTACACTCTGACCGGTTTCTCCTGATGATGTTTTGTCTTAAGATTGGCTCAATATGACTTCCAACTTGAATTCCTTTCCCAACAGAAATGACAATCCTGAGACTTCAGCAATCACAAACTCTCCGCTATCACTCGATTTTCCAACAGTTTTCACTGTTCTCTGTCCGGACTTTGCTTCTCCATCATTGTATGACTCCTGCCCTCTCAGTCTCATTGAATTCCTTTCCCACCGATCACCTTGTAAGTGATCCTATCGCCAGTGTACACCACGTCCATGCCATTGCCGTTCAGCAACAGAACGCCGTAGGTCGTGCCTGCCCCAGCTCCTCCGCCGCCGCGGCCGTGGACGACCTGACGTCCATGTAAAACGGATGCGACCCGTACAGGTTGAGATCGAGGTTCGAGCTGGCGATGTCGGCATTCCACAGAGTTACAGTTTGGTTGGACCGGAGCCGGAGCGACGGCTTCGTGTGCTCACCAATGCCGGAGAGGGAGGAGCGGCCGAGAGGAAGGGACGAAGCGAGTTGGAGGTACTGGTCCTTGAAGACGAGGAAGGCGGAGGGGTCGGCGGCGGAGGTGTCGAGGAGGACGTCGCCGGAGGAGCGGCGGGAGACGGCAAAGGAGAACGGGGTGGTGTTGTTGAGGACGAAGACGAGGTCGGAGGAGGCGGCGGAGATGCGGCGGCAGGAGCCGGAGAGCGGCGGTGGTGGCGGAGCTAGGGTTTGGTTGGGAGGGGAGGGGGACCGGCGAGGGAAGAGGTCGTCGGGGACTTCCCACCGGCGGTGGTCGGCGTTCGTGATTCGGACTCGGAGACGGCCGCCCGCTTCGAAGCTGGAAGGAGACGACCGTGATGACGTAAGCCAAAATTAGCTATTTTTTTTCTTTCATAAAAGAAAATTATATCTATACCATTTAAATTAATTCTCAAATTGTTTATATTCTCTGTCAAATATCCCTAATTATTTATCTCACAAAATATCGCATAAATAGTATGTAAACTAGCATCTTAATTTAATCTCGCGCGATGTTTCGATATTGAAATTTGATTATTCTCTTTTCAGCAGCAACCCTCTTAGTAAAATTCGAACTTCGAAATATTTTCCTCCTTTTTCTCTTTTACGTATATTTATAATTTTTTTTGTGCATTATTACTGTTGACACTCAAAATTACCCTTGGTGGGAGCGGGCTGGTTACAAGTCACAAAGGATATAAAGTACGGCCCACATGGCATAAATCCGGAAAAAGGCAGTGAGTCAGGCCTAGAGGCATTGAGAAGACTTGAGGTAATTATCGACAGGACATGTCATAGAAGTGTCGACAAGTCCAAAATCACGAGCTTTTCACGTAATGTCGACGAATTCAAGATCACAAGCTCTTCACGTGACATCAACAAATTCAAGATTATGAGCTTTTCACGTGACGTCGACAAATTCAAGATCACGAGCTTTGCACGTGACGTCGACAAGTCCAAAATCACGAGTTTTGCACATGGTGTCGATAAGTCTGAAATCATGGTGACACGTGGTGAAAAAATTCATTTACACATGTCAAAGGGTAAAGATATGACCGTGGGCGTGAAGATCAAGAAAGTTAGAGAATGACATTTAGGAAATGGCAAAAAATAAAGAGACACATGGAAGAAAATCAGCTATTACGTAATGCCTAAGGAGCGTAAGCAACATCGATAAGTCAGGAAGCGGTTAAAGCGCGAAACGTAAGGAAGTGGAAAACAACTTTCAAGGAGAAGTGATCGTCAACAGTTATCAAGCTGCTCTATAAATACTCAAGGATTTCCAACGTAGAGAGGACCCTTTTCGCAAACAACACAACACATCTTTTATCTATCCTTACTCTTAGCGTATTAGGAGTAGTTTTAGCTGCAACTTTCAAATTCTGTGTCGTAGATTCAATTCCGGCGAGAGTCTTTATCAGGTTGAGCATTGTTGATTAAATTCCAATGTTGTGCCACCAGTTCAGCATTGTCGATTAAATTCCGGCGTTGTGCTTGAAATATAGCTGTTGATTAGATTCCAGCCATATTCTCTCAAGTTACGTCATTGATTAGATTCTAGCGTACTTTGAATGGTAATGCCGCATATTAGTTGTGTCGTTATTTAGATTCCGACATAGCTTGGTCTCGGTATCTGCAAGTTGTCATTCCATTATTAGTATTATCGAGTTTGGTGTATTATCAAGCCAAGTTGTAAGATATAAGTTGGGCTTAATAAACGCATTTGACATTCTCTGTCTAAGCTTGATTCAAGACCCAAGTCTCCTCTAATAAAATCCGAAACGCAACGTCCGGTGAAAGATTTTCGATGGGATAAAACCGGCGAAACATCTTTTTGGCACTCCTAGTGGGACCTTTATTGAGTTAAGTAGAGAGAGTGCTATGCCATGCACCCGGAGTAGAAACAACTCGGATAATACTACTGACGAGCAAGCTGCATCGATGGCAGAAGATAATACCCGTGCCGAGACATCATCCGCTCAACTTCTTCATACCGAGGTTGCTAACCAATCTCGAGAGGAGGTTACAGATATGTCGAGGCAGCGTGTTGAAGATAGAAGGCAAACTGAGCTCACACTAGTTGCACTTTCTACCATGAGTTCGTTGATTATGTAGTAAGGCGTATGACTGAAGTGGTTAGGCCTTCGATCATTAACACTTATCATGAATGCACGCAAGGTCAACATGGGGCGTCCATCGCACCGACCCAACTGAGAACAGGATCTCCGTCAGCATTGGGGGGTCCTGCAATATAGTTTGGAACAATGATGCAAAGTACGTCTACGATCCCACCCATTCGAATATTACCAAGGGGAGAAACCTTGCCAATAACACCCAGCGAGGGATTACCTCACGCTAGCGCGGACCCAAATGGAGGAATTGCTCGACAGTCGGTGATCGATGAAAACCTCCAAAGAGGACATCAGGTTACTCAGGTGCAAGGCCCCCCTGTGATCCAGGTAAATCCTCCACCTGTAGTCCTAGATGTTAAGAATCTTGCAACACCCTTGCCTAGGGGGCAAGAGCAGATACAACAGATAAACATTCAATCACAACGTCAGGCACCCCAGCTTGTAGTGCCTAACGTAAATCAGCATTTTCCACCCCTTATGGGTCAAAATGTTCAAGTTCACCAACCATTGCCAGCACAGTTAAACCCACCAGTCAACCCACATATGATTGCTCACAACGTACCACAGCTAATGTAGCCACCACCTCAACAGCAGCCACAGTTACCACAGCAGCCATTCTACCAATTGCCTCATCAGAATCTGAACCAGTCATTGCCACCTAATTATGTTGTAGCTCCTATGCCCGTCGTGGGTCAACTACGAAATCAATTAGTAGTGGACCCTGTGATGAGGGGATATGGCCATGATATGAGATACCTCCCAAAAGTTTATAGAAAATCATATCCTGATTGGATGGATACTATACCATATCCAAGGGGTTTTAAAATGCCAGAATTTACATTGTTCACTGGAGAAGAAGATCAGTCCGCTTTTGAACATGTTAATCGTTTTCTGGCTCAATGTGGTGATGCGGCTCATGCTGATTATTGGAAGTTGAGGTTATTTCCCTTATCCTTGTCAAAAATCGCGTTTACCTAGTATACTGCTTTACCTGCAAATTCGATTACATCATGGGAACAAATGGAAAGGTTATTTCATTGCCAATTTCAAAGGGCTGTGCCGGATTTGTCGGTAGCTGATCTCTCGACCATGAGACAGTTAGCTAATGAATCTATCGATAAGTTCGTTTCCAAGTTTAAAAGGGTAAGGAATAAGTGTTTAGTCCCTTTACCTGAAAAGACTTTTGCGGACCTCGCTTTTAATGGACTGAAGTTTGAAATCCGAGAAAGAATGGTTGGACAACCATATTCAGATCTGTTCCAGTTGTCAACCATAGCTACTAAGCATGAAAGTCTCCTTCAGGAAAAAGACAAAAGGTATGGTCGACGGGGTGAAGTTCGTTGGGCTGATGCTAATGAGAGCGAGGATGAAACTGAATCAACAGATATAGCAGATGTGGTTCTCGCTAAAATGGTGATTGATAAGCCATACATCTATTAGGCTCTAAAGCCAGCAAGAGTTAAAGAAAGATCCAACCTCATGTCCAAGGCTAAGGAACCCATTTTTTATTCTTTTGATATAAATAAGACAGAGGAAATATTTGACTTATTATTAGCCGACGGACAGATCAGACTGACGGAGGGTCAGGTTTTACCCACCAAAGAAGAATTAGCGGGAAAGAAGTATTGTAAATGGCATCATTCATGGAGCCATGCCACCAATGACTGTCTTGTATTTAAGAGAAACGTCCAGGAAGCTATTAAGCAAGGGAAAATAAAATTCTCCGAGGACAAAGGTAAGTCCCTGATGGAAGTTGATGTCGATCCTTTTCTTATAATGGCAGGGATGGTGTCATTAAGGACAAAGACTAGGGAGCATCAGCCATATCGTTTTTGCGAAAAGTGTAAACGATTGTTGGAACAAGAGAAACATTACTCCAACAGTCGAAGACGTCCGCCTAGTGAAGTTGTCAACGGATTCCCCGATTTGGTCCTCACTGATTCACATGATGAACAAACTCCTTCTAGGGGTGTTAATCATCATAGAGGCCGACGAAGCCATAATAAGACTATTAAGTCATTCAAGCAAAGGTACGAAGAAGGTGATCCGACTATTGGTACTTTGGGAGAGGCTAGTGGTAAATTTGATTATTATGTTAATTATGCTCCACCACCTTCATACAATGGGAAGATTGAGCCAAGTGGATGGGGTTCTAACTTCCCTGATCGAGAGGATCTTTGCACAGACCCTCATCTACTACGTCGACAAACTCTGAAAGTGCCAAGAGACCCATTTGTAGGTCAATGGTATGAGACCCGCCGAACTCAGAATCGCAGTTCAAATCTGACGCGGACTCAAAAAAGGAGAATGCTGAGGAAAAGAAAAGAGTATCAGCTCCAACAACAAGTAAGACAAGTTCACATCAAGCAGGTTAAACCAACCTTGATCGCAGAATAAAAGGTCAAGCCAAAGTATCATAAGCGTAGGAACTTAGTCTGGAAAAGAAAACCAGGAATTCAAGCGTCAACATCTGGTCGACCTCAATAATCTTCACCAAAGCAAGACGTTGAGCCTGCGCGGTATGAACCACAACAATTGTCAAGATCAATCTCGTCGTTGAGTTCTTGCATGGTTCGAGTATGCCTTCCATCGAACCTTCGGGTTATGACAGTGGAGCCAGGTCATCCGGAAGAAATTACAATGGAAGAGAAAGAAAAAGTAGAATTTCACTTTGATATAGAGGAGGTGGTTGAATTCGAGAAGCCTCCACCCAAGGGTTCAAACCATTTAAGGGCTCTGAATATCAACGCAAAAGTTAATGGCCGACCGGTGTCTCGAGTGTTAGTGGAGGGGGGATCTACACTGAATCTCATCCCATATCATTTCTACAAGAAACTGGGAAGGCGTGATGAGAAGATTATTCCATCGAACATCCAATTGTCCGACTTTACTGGAGAAGTCTCCGAAGTTAAAAGAATTTTCATTACTAACTTGACCGTTGGCACCAAAACTTCCAGGACGTCCTTTTGTATGGTTGATGCAAATGGATCTTAAAAATTTATTATTGGGCCGAGATTGGATCCATGGTAATCAATACATACCATCAACTCTCCATCAGATGCTAGCATTTTGGAATGGAGATAAGGTAGAATACGTCAAAGCAAACACCAAGTCACAGACAACCTATGCACATGCATCTCCAACTCACCAATTGGCACTAGAAGACAGTATATCCATCAGTAAGTCACCTCTCGTTGACCCCAATAGTATTGCCTACTGCCGTTTCGACAAACGGATCGTT